GGCCCTCCCTCTGCTGCGCTGGGAGCCTCTCTCTTCATCCCTCTCCCTCCTGCGCCCAGAGACCCAGGCGGCTTCCCGCTGCTTCTCCACAGAGCAAGGCCTCAACCGAGCGCTGGCAGGTCCAGGCCCAACGCTCATGGTGCGAATCCTGAGGCACGGACGGCCCCATGCCCGTGTCCCAGGGAACATGATGCACAGTCACCCCGTGTCCCAGGGAACACGATGGCCCGGTCACCCCGTGTCCCAGGGAACATGATGGCCCGGTCACCCCGTGTCCCAGAGAACCCACCATGGCCCGGTCACCCCGCCAGGGGCCAGCGTGCTGGCAAATCGCCTTCCCCATGTCAGGAGCCACCACCCGGGAGGAATGGGGCGCACTTACCGCCTGGGCCCCCGAGGGCTCGGAGCTGGCGGGCTGCTGGGAAGAGGGCTTGGCCACCCAGCCAGGGGCCAGCGTGCTGGCAAATCGCCTTCCCCATGTCAGGAGCCACCACCCGGGAGGAATGGGGCGCACTTACCGCCTGGGCCCCCGAGGGCTCGGAGCTGGCGGGCTGCTGGGAAGAGGGCTTGGCCGAGCGGCAACGAGTGGGGGACGGTGGGGAGGCTGCGAGCTGGGACAGGGACAGCTGGAGGGAAGAGAGCTGGTGAGACCAGCCAGTCAGTGACCTCGTGGAGGCCCCCACCCACGCGGGCGCTGGGAAGGAGGCTCCGGGCGACCACGGAAGGCGGAAAGGCCCGCAGCCTCCACTCAGCAGCTGCTCTGGACCCCCAGCCGTTCCAATGTCCTTAGAATTATCGAGTGAGAGGGTTCTGTGACCTCTCCTGGCCCCTAGTATCTGAATAAACGCAGCAACAAGGACAAGCAGGTGGAGGGGAGAAAGGGCCGGGGACACCAGGTTCTCGCGCGTGGGCGGCAGGGTCCTCTCTGGGTTCCCCTCCGCCCCCGGGCTGACCGTCGCCAAGGCCCTTCCGGTTCTGACCCCTGTGCTCCTCTGACGTGAACGGGCCGGCGGGCTCTGGAGACAGACCGCTGGGGACGGACGGACTCCCCCTCTGCCACTTCGTCACCGTGTGACCGTGGGCAGGTCACCTACTATCTCCCTCAGTCTCCTCATCTGTAAGATGGGGTGATCGTGGCACCTGCATCACAGGACTGTCAGGGGCGTTACATGGAAGCCCACGGAAAGGGCTCAGCACCCGGCACCCGGCCGCCTCCCGCCCTGCAACGGGCGTTTCCCATCAGCAGGGACAGCTGGCCCCGGGCCACGGGCCACGGGCGTGCTGGCGCAGGCGGACAAGGGCATGACGAGGTGCCCAGGACAGCTGGCCATGGGTGTGCTGGCGCAGACGGACAAGGGCATGACGAGGTGCCCAGGCATGGGAGAGGGTGCATGTGGCTGGGGGGGGGTGGGCCGGCAGCATAGTCAGGGAATAGAGAGCTTCCCTGGGAGTGAGCAGGCTGCCCCGTGGTCCCGGAGTGCCCGGGCAATGTGGACGTGCTGCAGGGACAGTGCTGGGACGGCCGCAGGGAAAACACAACATCACTTCCCACCCAGGTTCCAAGCTGCATGCGACACAGCCAGCCCGCTCCCCGGGGACGGCCTTTGGGGTACAGATTATTCAACTTTTCTAGAAAGTCACTTCCAGGTGATGCTGCCAGAAGGAGCCACCGGGAGGACAAGCCAACTCTGACCTCGTTCAAAATCACACGATGACCAAGCAAGCCAGAGCCCTGTTGCCACACAGGCACCTACCACGGACAGGCCCGCCCACGGACAGGCCCACCCACAGCCAGGTCTGCCCTCCGACAGGCAGCCGCCGACATGCTAGGCTGTGCCCATCTCCCCAGCACTGCGCGCGGCCGGGCTCCCTGGGCAGCGGGCACTGCGGGGATGAAGACCACACCTCGGCGTCTCGGGGAGAAAGCAAAGGCTGTTCAGTCCTGACCATTCTCAACCCTCAGACACTGTCGGGGAGACCACTTGTTTCAAAGGGAGAGAGTCCTTTGATGCCAACGCAGGGTCCCTGACAGGGCCCAGAAGCCACCCTGGCAGCCGCTGCACAGACGGGCAGGAGGGAGACGGGACCCTGGCCACCCCACGCAGCAGGCGGCCCCTCCCCTCCGCACCCAGCCCCTTCCCAGCCCCAGAAAGCACAGGGGCATCGACTGTCCCTAAAGATGCAGAGACGCTCTGCACCCGGAGCTGTGGCAGCAGGTTCTGGACTTACCCCTGGTCCCACCGGCGAGTCCTGGGAGGCAGCGAGCCCCGGGGGCGGCGGCACTGGCGGGCCTGGGAGGAAGCACAGGACCGGAGGGAGCCATCAGCCTCGGCGGGGCCCAGGGCACCCAGAGCTCCAACCCCTCAGGGCCTGAACGTCTCCCTCGGGGGTACCCAGTGCCACTGGGGTTGGGCAGCAGTGACCAGGCCGTCCCCACGCTCAGCAGTTTAGAAGACATGGGCGTGCAGGGCACACACAGGGGGCTCCTCCCATCAATGCCTCGGAGAACGAACCCTGAGCTCCGGCTGCTGCTACCCTCAGCGCTGGCGCTGCAGGCCCCGCCTCCCGACTGCCCGCTAAGCACAGCCTGGCCGCAGAGCCCCGCTCACGGGTGGGCGGGCCTGTGAGCACCAGGAAGAATCCAGGCCAGCCCTCACGCGCTCCCCCTAGGAGGGGCTGAGAGTGTCCTTTGACCTTGAGGACCCCAGGCTGAGCGCCTGCCGAGCGCTGTCCCGCACGGTGGTCGGAGGGGCAGGCTGCTGCTGGCCTAAAAAAGGGGAGTTGAGGCTGAGCAGCCCCGGGCCCTGGCCCTGCAGGGAGCCCCAGGCGCTGCTGCGCGCTGGGCATCTGTGGCCTCTCAGTCATTTCACACGTGTTGCACGCCTTCGCCTGCCAGGGTGACGCACGTGGATTCCCCGAGGGCCCCGGCCCTTCTCCAGCCCTTAGGGCCACACCCTGCCTCACTCACCACAGTTCCCTTCAGACACCAGACTCTGTCCACTTCACGTGACCACCACCCCCACTGGACTCAGGACAGCCTGGACCCTGAAGTCACAGCCCACCCATGGCGGCCTAGCCCTGCCTCCTGTGGCTCTGACCACCGCCCTGGCCTCGCCCTGCCTCTCCTGTGGCCTCTGCTGCCGAAGTCCCCACACAGCCACGCCTGAGCCGGGGAACAGGCGGCGCCATGAACGTGCGTGAGCCAATGAGCGCCCTTTCCCTGCAGCCCCGAGTCCCCGGGACCCACGGCGCAGGGCAGGCCTCGGGACCTGCTGACCAGCCAGCCTCACTGCGGGGCCGTGACGGGAGGGGCTGCGCACTCCACAGAGCATGCCCGCGCCTCCCTGGACGCTCTCAGTCACCGAACAAAACCAACAGCAACGAAGCCTGTCCCCCCAGGAGGAACTGAGCACACGAAGCGCCACCCAGACGCCCTGCTGTGCGCCCAGGGCGCCCGCCACAGCCCCTCCCAGCTGCTCCAGAACCCACCCAGAGAGGGCAGGCGGTGCGCCCAGGCTGAGGGGCCGGGCTGATGGGGAGTGGGGGGCAGGGACAGCCAGGGGCGCAGAGGGAGCTCCCTCAGCGCCGTTCTTTTTATCTTTATTGATTTCAGAGAGAGGTAGGGAGAGGGAGAGAGAGGGAAACGTCAATGATGAGAGAGAACCATCGATAGGCTGCCTCCTGCACGCCCCACACTGGGGATGGAGCCCACAACCGGGGCATGTGCCCTGACTGGGAGTCGAACCCTGACCTCCCGGTTCCTAGGTCGACGCTCAGCCCCTGGGCCCCGCCGGCCGGCTGCCCACTCCCTCTAACAAGCCCCGTTCAGAGGCCCACTCCCCGGGACACTGCAGCCGAGGAGTCTCCGGTTCCGAGATGTGCTCACGGGGGCGGGAGTCAGAGCGTCGCCAAGCGAGTGGAGTCGGCTTCCCAGGAAAATGCGCTTCAGCAGAAGCAAAACACAGATGGGGTTCGGCCGGGGCCACTGTCCTCGAACAGCGGCCTCTCCCTCCCAGACCATCTGGAGCTCTGCCGGCAGCCCCGCCCCACCTCGCCCCCGCAGCAGAGGGAGCCAGAGCAGCCAGCACACGGAGCCTCCTTTGTTCTGCCCTAAATGGAGACAGTTCCGCAGGCGGGTCTCCGTAATGAGGAAAACGGCAGGAGATGGCGCCATTCTCCCTGGTAAGAGGGCCCGGCCCCCGGGAGCCCGCCCTCCACGGAGTCCACTGAGCCCACGGAGTCCCCTGAGCCCTCGGAGTGAAGGCTGAGCCTGCGGGGCGTTGGGCATTAAAGCCTCCGGTTCTCCCAGCGGTACCCGCTGTGTTCTTTAAGGCAATTCTTTACCTGAAAATGTACGGAACCTCATCTTCCCAGCGAGTAAACAGCGCCCAGAAAAGCCGCTGCTGGCCTTTGCCCACTGGTGACCCAAGGGCACGAAGCCCCAATCCGTGCCCAGGGAGGCGCGGACGGAGGAAAACGCACCAAAACCACAACATCCCTCGCTTCACACCGGCTTTACGCCCTGTGTCGTGGGCAGTGAAGTCACTTCTCAAACCACACGGCGGCGCCCAGAGAACACGTGTCCCCCGAGAGCCCTCGCGTCAACCCCTCCGCGCCCCCCCCAGCCAGGATGACTGTCCGAGTGGGAAGCCCCACTTCCGCCAGAGACGATGGGCAACATGTGCAGTGACAGCTGGGCGTGCACAGGTCTGCGCCGCACCGCTGGACACAGGGTCCATCAGGCCGCACAAGCGCCCAGAAAGGGCAGCCCGGGAGTCAAGGTCGGGGGCGGGGAGGACGTGCACATGGAAAGGGGAGGCGGCGCTGGGTCGGCAGGAGCAGCTGCCAAGCACGTCAGAGCCGAGAGCGCAAGCCCCACGCGCCCTGGGCAGAGTGTCCATCTGTCCCGCGAGCCTGAACACGCTCCTGGCTGCACCAGGGCTGCGCTCGGCTCACACCGAGGAAGGAGGCCCCACGCGCCTCTGCCGCGCCACACGGGCTCCTTCCTGGGTGACGTCAGGCGGCAGGGCCACCGCAGGCCTGACTTCAGGTAAACACAGAGCAGGGACGCGGAGACGACCCTTTGCCTGCGGCGTGGTGGGAGGCTCAAGGGCCAAGGGCCGGGAAGCTGCGGTGCCCCGACAGGAGGGACGAAACCAGGGCCCAGGCCACGCTGAGCTGTGCGGACGGAGCCACCGCGGCCTGAGACCAAGGAGAAGCTCCCTTCCAGCTCGGCGAGTGCAGCCACGTCTGAGGACTGCATTTCCTGACGCTGTCACTCTGTCACTCTCCCGCCTGAAACCTCTGTCCACAGAGCCGAGGCCTCCAGCCTTAGTGCGGCTGCTGGAGGCGCAGCCTCCTCTCGGCAAAGGCGAGCAGGTGCAAAAAATGAGGGGCGGGCCCTGGAAAGGTACAGAAACAGTGCAGGTGAGTGACATGGGGCAGGGTCTGCTCGGAGACCCCCTCCAGCTGCAGAGGGCGGAGGCGGCAGCACCCTCTCTGCAAACGCTGGG